AATAAGCACAGTATCATCAGCAAAAAGTAACTGTGCCAATTCCCATTTTGAATTTGATTCCCCATAATTTAATCCCACCCCCTCTCCCAAACACCCTAGCATTTACTTCCTTTACAACCCCATCTATAAATATATTAAACAACCATGGTGACATTACACATCCCTGTCTAAGACCTACTTTTACCGAGAAGTAGTCCTCCCTCTCTTCTACACACCTAACCTGAGCCTCACTATCCTCATAAAAACTCTTTACAGCATTTAATAACTTACCACCTATTCCATATACTTGCAACATCTGCCACATTGCTCCTCTATCCACTCTATCATATGCCTTTTCTAAATCCATAAATGCAATAAAAACTTCCCTATCTTTATCTAAATACTGTTCACATATATGCTTCAATGTAAACACCTGATCTACACATCCCCTACCCACTCTAAAACCTCCTTGCTCATCCGCAATCCTACATTCTGTCTTACCTCTAATTCTTTCAATTATAACCCTAACCGTACACTTTTCCTGGTATACTCAGTAAGCTTATTCCTCTATAATTTTTACAGTCTCTTTTGTCCCCTTTCCCTTTATATAAAGGGACTATACATGCTCTCTGCCAATCCCTAGGTACCTTCCCCTCTTTCATACATTTATAAACAAAAGTACCAACCACTCCAACACTATATCCCCCCCTGCTTTTAAATTTCTGTCATGACCCCATCATTTCCCAGCTGCTTTCCCCCCCTTTCTTTTTACGTAATGCCTACGACCCCCCCCACCTTACATTGCTTTTCTTCACCCCCAAAAAAGGGGTTACCTCCCTGCCAGTGCATGAAATTCTGCCTCTTTTTTTCCTTTAACATTTAAAATTTCCTCAAAAATATTCTCGCCATCTACCAATACCTCATCCCCCCCATTACAAAACTCCCCTACTCTTTTTTAAAACTGACAAATCCATATTTTCCCTAGGCTTTCAAAATTGTTTAATCACTCCAAAATTTTTTCTTTTTTTTAATTAAAAATTTTTGACAGTGCCTCTCCCACCTATCATTGCTCTCCTTTTCATCTCTCACCCCTTTTTACCTTTCTTTTACTCTCCAAACCTGCTTTTCTTTAACACTTCTGCTTTTGTAAAAAAACCCCTTTATAAACTACCTTTTTTCTTTTTTCACACCCTTTACTTCATCATTCCCCAATCACTCCTCTTTTTCCCCTGCCCCCACCCTCCTAAACCCAAAACTTCTGCCCCCATTCTAATATGCATTTTTAAAACTATTCCCAAACCCCCTTTAAACCCCCCCCCCTACTCACTTTGCACTAGCCCACCTTTCTGCCAATATCGCTTAAAATCACCCGAACTTCCCTCCCTTAGTTTATACACTTTCACCTCCCTCTTACTTGTTGTTTGCCACCTTCCCCTTTTCCCATCTACTTCTTACTCTAACTGTAGCTACAACTAAATAATGATCCGATATATCAGTTGCCCCTCTATAAACATGTAATCGTGGAGCCTACCATCAACCTTTTATCCACCAATACATAATTAATAAACTACTTTCATTACGTGCTACATCATACCTTGTATATTTATTTATCCTCTTTTTCATAAATTTATGTATTACTTATTACCAAATTTCTTTCTACACAAAAGCTCAATTAAAGGCTCCCCATTTACATTTACCCCTGGCCCCCCAAATTTTTACCTACTACTCCTTCCATAACATTTTTACCCACTTTAGCATTGAAATCCCCAACCACCATTACTCTCACACTTGATTCAAAACTCCCACGCATTCACTCAACATTTCCCAAAATGTCTCTCTCTCCTCTACACTTCTCTCTTCTCCAGGTGCATACACGCTTATTATAACCCATTTTTCACATCCAATCTTTATTTTACTCCACATAACCCTTGAATTATTACATTTATAGTCCCTCTTTTCTGCCATAGCTTATCCTTCAACATTATTGCTACTCCTTCTTTAGCTCTAACTCTATTTGAAACCCTGACCTAATCCCCTTTATTCCCCCCACTGAAACTCTCCCACCCTTTCACTTTGTTTCCCCTAAAGCCAGGACATCCAGCTTCTTTCTTCATAACATCCACAATCATCTCTTTCTTTTCATCTGCACAACATCCACGCCCCATTCAGACTTCCCACTTTGACAATTTTCTTCTTATTCTTTTTAGTAATCTTTACAGGGAAAAGGGGTTACTAGCCCATTGTTCCCGGCATTTTAGTTGACTTTTTAAACACGCATGGGTTACGGAGAAAGATTCTTATTCCACTTCCCCATGGATATAAAAGGAAAATTAATAAGACCAAGAACTATTAAGATAAAATCAAAAGAAAACTCAGATGAGTGTGTATAAATAAATGTGTACATGTATGTGTAGTGTGACCTAAGTGTAAGTAGAAGTAGCAAGACATGCCTGTAATCCTGCATATTTATGAGACAGACAAAAGACATCAGCAATCCTACCATCATGTAAAACAATCACAGGCTTCGTTTTACACTCACTTGGCAGGACGGTAGTACCTCCCTGGGTGGTTGCTGTCTACCAACCTACTACAATAAATGAAATCATATATTAAAGGTGTCATATATTCTTCACTATTACTACAACAAAGATGTGTGAGCACAGTATCCTGTACGTACTATGATTGTAGCAGAAACAAACCTGTGAACCATGTTGGTAATGACTATGATCATGTACCATCACCAATGTCTGCCTATAATTCAACTGGTCTTGCCATCCACAAAAATATACTGGTACTCAAGGTTTGCAGTTAAGTGGAACCTATTAGAGGTTCCACTATATGGATAACTAAAATGTAATGAACACTAGTCAATGCTCAATAACAACCCACATGAGAAAAACTCTCAGGATTAATTGGTCTGAATATTTTGATCCCCTTCAAGTATCTGCTCTCTTGTGATTCACAGGTTCTACATACTATTTACCCTGCCTAGCATTCATATGCAGTTACTAATTTGTAAACATCCCTTTGTAGTTACAGCAGCAGAACAAACCATGAGGTGTTCAATCTTCATGATCACTATCTGTGAAGTCAAATAACACCCAGGCACCTATTTACAGCTAGATGAACAAAGTTGGCAGATACAACAGACTTGCTCATATATCTCACCCTGCCCAGAAACCAATGCCAGGTCCTCTTGGTTGTATGGTGTTTGCTCTAACACTCGAGCCACAAGTATTAACCCTTTGACTGCGCGACCCCAAATCCTGAAACGTGTCTGTCGCAAAATATTCGAGAAAAAAAAATTTTCTTGTGAAATGATAGAGAATCTTTTCCCAATGGTAATGACACAAAAAAGTACAAAGTTTGATGGAAAACTTCCGGAATTACCCTCTTGCAAAGTTAGTGATCTTGGTGATATATACGCATCGGAGATTTCGCCCACTTTGAGCCCTATTTTCAACCAATTCCATTGTTCCAGTTGACCAAACTCACAGCTACTTCTCTAAAATTCCAATTGTTCTGTCGATTGAGTACAAGAAACTGTCCATTTACTGATTTCAACTACTCAATAAAGTGGTCAGAAATTGGCAATTTGGCCAATTTCACGCAAATTCAAAAAGATGCCAATTTCAAAATAGGATCCAGAATAAACAATGCAGACATTCCTGGCACTAATATAACATTTTCTCTCTTCATTAATCACATCTCCAGGCCCTTCTTATATTACTCTTGCTTTCTATTTTGAATTTTTATTCACACAAAAAATAGAAGATTTACTGTTATGCAGGCTACTGCATTATTATAAAAATAGTATAAATAATATCAGTGCACTTGTGAAAGAATATTACTCACCAGTTGACGTGTATTGAACGTGTGGCGTAATTTCTTTACTCTTGAACATCAGCAAAAATCGAACATTTCCGCTAATCTGAGCTCAATTTCGAGGTCCTTTTCATCGAAAAGGACCATTTTTGTAATGTGTCTTTCATTCTATTAAACGAGACCACGAAAACGAGAATACAACCATAAATATTATACGAAAATACACCTCAAAGTCGGCATTTTAAACCATAAACACAGTTTTTCCTTCTCATTATGCACTGCGTGCTGCAGGATTTTTTTTATACTGCGCACACTGACCGCAAAGACCCATTCTCTCACCTGTGGGTCTACTAGCTTTCTTCCACTTGATTTGAAGCTGCTAGAATTTTGGTGAATGAATACGCCTGAAACAGACTCATAAGACGTATATATATGACCAAAACAGTCAAAGGGTTAATATGCATGTGTATGCGTGTACATTCTTCTTCTTTCAACAAACCGACTATCCCACCGAAGCAGGGTGGCCCAAAAAGAAAAATGAAAGTTTTTCTTTTTAACTTAAGTAATGTATACAGAAGGGGTTACTAGCCCCTTTTGCCCCCAGCATTTTAGTCACCTCTTATGACATGCATGGCTTACAGAGGAAGAATTCTGTTCCACTTCCCCATGGAGAATATATATATATATTATTTTTTTCAACAAACCGGCTGTATCCCACCAAGGCAGGGTGGCCCAAAAAGAAAAACGAAAGTTTCTCTTTTTAAATTTAGTAATTTATACAAGAGAAGGGGTTACCAGCCCCTTACCCCTGGCATTTTAGTCGCCTCTTACAACATGCGTGGCTTACAGAGGAAGAATTCTTTCCCACTTCCCCATGGAGATAGATAAGAGGAAATAAACAAGAACAAGAACTAGAAAGAAAATAGCAGAAAACCCAGAGGGGTGTGTATATATATGCTGTACATGTATGTGTAATGTGACCTAAGTGTAAGTAGAAGTAGCAAGACGTCCCTAAAATCTTGCATGTTTATGAGACTGGGAAAAAAGGGCACCAGCAATCCTACCATCATGTAAAACAATTACAGGCTTTCATTTTACACTCACTTGGCAGGACGATAGTACCTCCCTGGGCAGCTGCTGTTTACCAACCTACTACCTATATATATATGTATATATAATATGTAAATCCCACTTACCTTAAAAATTCTTATTAAAGCCTTCTTGCACTTTTCTGTCAACTGAAACAAAAATAATAATTTAAAAGTAAATCAAAAGATAAAGTATTTAAAAACCATTTTCCTTAATACCTACGTTTTAATGATACTTTTTTCACACTATACACTCAAGAGATGCTTTATACATTTGGTAAAACTTACATCTCTCTCCTCTAGAATATACAAAGGTGCTGTAGGATGAAGTACTGCTTTCTGAGCATAGTAAAACATTTCAGATATGTTCTTGAGTGTTCTTGCTGAGCACTGTAAAATTTACAAAGTATTAGATTCAGAGACAAGAATAGACCATAAATGCATGACTAACTGTATGCCTTCTTTCTGTTTCTTTGAGGAAAATAAATGCAAGTACTGTATCTATTAAACTTTTACCAAAATGCCTATATCTTTGTGTTATAAAGTGCCTTAATCAGTATGCAATGATCCTTGTAGTTTTTTATTTACCTTCACTTTACTGAAGCATTTTTTATACTATGGTATACTTCAGCTACCTTCACGAAGACCACAATTTAAAAAAATACGTACATTTAATGTTACCAGTGAGTACTTTCTATAATGAATAATTCATTTTTACATATACAAAAAAACTGAAACATGTTATGCTTTCTCAAGGCTTCTTGAACATTACAGTATTCACATTAAAAGTGACATTCTCACTCACCAGAACTTACTTACAGTGCACTAGCAACTCTTCATTATCAAGCACCACATTTCTTTCAGAATGACAATACAGTGGACCCCCGCTTAACAATCGCCTCCAAATGCGACCAATTATGTAAGTGTATTTATGCAAGTGCGTGTGTACGTGTATGTTTGGGGGTCTGAAATGGACTAATCTACTTCACAATATTCCTTATGGGAAAAAATTCGGTCAGTAATGGCACCTGAACATACTACTGGAATGAAAAAAGTTCGTTAACCGGGGGTCCACTGTATTATAAAACACTGAAGAGCTTAACCCTTTGACTGTCACAACCCCCAATCCTGAGGTGCCTCCTGGTGTCGCAAAATTTCAAAAAAAAAAAAAAAAAAAAAAAAAAAAAAAATCTTATGAAATGATAGAGAATCTTTTCCCGATTGTAATGACACCAAAAAAAAAAAAGAAAAGAAATTTGATACAAAACTAACGGAATTACGCTCTCGCGAAGTTAGCGACCTCGGCGATATTTACAAATCGGCGATTTCGCCCACTTTGATCCCTGTTTTCGGCTAATTCCATTGTTCCAGTCGACCAAACTCAAAGCTATTTCTTTAGAACTCCATTTTTCCTATCGATTGAGTACAAGAAACTGCCCATTTACTGATTTCAACTACCCAATAACGTGGTCAGAAATTTGCAATTTGGCCAATTTCACAAAAATTAAAAAATATGACAATTTCAAAATAAGGTCCAGAATGAACAATGCAGACATTCCTGGCTCTAAAATAACATTTTCTTTGTTCATCAGTCACATCTCAAGGCCCCTCTGATATTACTCTTGCTTTCTATTTTGAATTTTTATTCAAACAAAAAATAGAAGATTTACTCTTATGCAGACTACTGCAATATTGTAATAATTGTACAAATAATGTCAACCTATTCATGATTGCATATCAGAATGGCTAGTTGGACATTTATTGGACAATGACATCATTTGTTTACTTTTGAACATCGGCAAATATCAAACAAAAACCAATCAAAATCATCTCTATTTCAATAATATGTTTTCCATTCTATCAAATGAGACCAAGAAAACAAGAATACAACCATAAATACTATACGAAAATAGACCACAAAGTCGGCATTTTAATTTAAAAAAAAAAAAAAACGGTCAGGTTTTTTTTCTCATTATGCACTGCGTGCTCCAGGATTTTTTTATATGGTGCACGCTGACCACACAGACCCATTCTCTCACATGTGGGCCTACCAGCTTTCTCCTGCTTGATTTGAAGCCGCTAGAATTTATGAGTAGTATATATACGTCAAACACAGTACCTCGTAAGACGTATACATACGGCCGAAACAGTCAAAGGGTTAAACAAACATAACATGAGGAGACATTCCATCTCCATCAAACACCAAGATTCTCTTAGTTTTTCTAATCACTTTCAACATGCTGACAATAATTATGTAACTCATTTATGTAAACAGAACAGTACTGACACACTCCACATCTCTAATCATGCTTTTCCATCACTCCAGTTCTCATTCTAATGAGGATATATGCAACTCTCACAGACCACAAAAACAAATAATCTACTAAGCTCTTACTTCAACGCACGTCTCGATTTCTGGATATTCCATCATAGTCTGCAATACAATCTGCAAGAAAATTTAAGAATTTTAACAGTAAATATAAAAACATGAATATCCAAATTATAATTACTGTAGAGGCCCTTCAAATGTGAAATATAGTTAAGTGCAAGAATGTACCAATAAACAAAGCTGACACCATATATTATATATACAATTACATCACTGACATCAGAGTAAATAAGATATTTATGATTACCTTATCAAAAGGTATACACACAGAAATTTAAGTTTTATCCTATTTCTCAGATAATAAAATACAGCCAAGAATGATCGGTCATGGTTTAGACCATCCCAATAATTGAAGCACAGCTAGTAAAACTTCATAATTCATGCCACGAAAGGGGAGGGAGGCTTACTCTTCCCCAGGAAAATTGTAAAAAATTTAATATTCCCACCACTCTGAGTTCTATTTCAAGCTACTTCTGGTCTGTAACTGACCAAAATCATCTCATCTTCCATTCTAATAATCGATACCAAGAAACAGCCAATAAAAACACCCTAGAAAACACCTTAAAGTTGCTATTTTAAACCAAACACAAAGTAAAAGGTTTGCTTTTCCAATCATGCACTGCTTGGGTCAGGATTTTTTAATACTGTGCACAATCACTGCACAGACCCATTCTCTCATCTCTATACCAAAATTTACCACTCAGCATATTTGAGAGAGCTGTGTTTAAACATAGATCTACATGAGAAACACTTGCATCAATGACATAGGTTTACATGGGAGACAGTGAAAGGGTTTATGAAATAGTGGCCATGCCTTAGGATTCCAAATATCATTTGCTTGTATACCTCTCTGAAGGGTCCCAAATTTTTGTTAACTTTCAATCATTTCATCATAATTAGAGGTGACCATTTGAGGACTAACACCAAAAAAAAACAAGATTTTGTGTGCAAGGGGCCTGGACGTACAGCAGGCATATGTGAGTGTGTTAGATAGGAGTGAATGGAGACTAATGGTTTTTGGGACCTGACGAGCTGTTGGAGTGTGAGCAGGGTAATATTTTGTGAAGGGATTCAGGGAAATCGGTTAGCCAAATTTGAGTCCTGGAGGTGAAAAGTACAATGCCTGCACTTTAAAGGAGGGGTTTGGGATATTGGCTGTTTGGAGTGACATCTAAACTGTCACATCTGGGTGCCTCTGCAAAGACAGTGATATTGTGTGAATGATGCTGAAAGTGCTGAATAATGGTGAAAGTGCTGAATGATGGCAAAAGTGTTTTTTTTGGGGTCACCCTGCCTCAGTGGGAGACAGCTATCATGTTAAAAAAAAAAAAAAAAATACAAGTACAGAATGTATTTTACTTTTTGGAGGCACCCTGCTTTGGTGAGAAAATGCCAATGTGCTGATAAATACATAATATAATACAGAACTTACTTCCATGGTAGAATAATCTACAAGGTCAACTTTATTGCCAACTAGAATGACTGGAATATGGTGCTGCTGGCCTAAAGTTGATCTGATTAAGGGTAGCCAATGGCAAGTGACTCTGTCTAATGTGTCCTCATCCTCAACACTGTAGACCACACATATGACATCAGATCGATTTATCTCGGAGCGTAACTGATCAACACTTTGCTCCCGTTCTGCAATGAAGACATGGAATATATGTATGACAAACCTTTCAGTACTGTGGCAAAATAAGTGTGATGCAGTGGTTACCATATGAAAATTAATATTTTAAAACAATACCTTTGATATTAATACATATGGTAAGCCTCGTATAACACCATTAAAATTAGCCGATGACCAAAGATACCGATACTCTTCTACACCCCTAGTGTCCACAGCATCAAGTTATGTACAAAATCTGAATAGTAATAAAGTATATGTCATGGAATTTTTCCCATCTTCACTCAGTTTGGGTAGGTGGGTCCACTCTCACAGCCTACAATCATTTTCTGGGTACCTGCCTCATGCACTGGTTATCAAACAATTTTACATTTTCACCACTCCATCTTCTCTGGATATTACCATGACACCCAAGAGGGATACTAGTAATACTGGAGGTGCCAAGAAAAATAAGAATAAGCATAAATCTATGACTGCACTGAAGAAAGTGGAACTCTCTGAAATGCTTTGATGGGGGGGGGGTGCATGTGTGATGGAGACTGCCTGTGTTTCTTGTGCAAGAGAATCAACCATCCACCTCAGCCCAGGAGGCTCACATTAGTCCTCTCCATACCTTTCCACATTAATAAGAAAACATTGCCAGAATGTATGGTAAGTTATACTATGCTACTGTACTAATTTTTACCTAGTATAATAGAAAAAGAAAATTGTTTGGGAAATTTGAAAGTGTCCTAAATATAACCCTATTTTTTCCAATATGTTCTTTGCTCCACATAATGCTATATTACATTCCTTGCCAATTTACAGGAAAAAACCTTATTTTTCACATTTGTTCTGCCGATTTGTGTTAACCGATGGTCAACTGCAAATCAACCTTGCTGCTGCATGCATGCATGCATATGTATGTATGCACATATGTAAGTACATATATACGTATGTATGCACGTATGTAAGTATATACATATGTATGCACATACTCACCTATACTAGTACATATGTGGTTACAGAGGCCGAGTCCTACCTCTAGCTCCGCCGCTCAACTTGCTGCTTGCCAAATTCATTATCTCCTAGCCTCATGGACCCTATCATACCTATTCTTAAAACTATGTATGAGTTTGCATCCACTACTTCTTCAACCACCCTGAGATGAGAAAAACTGTATTTCCCCGACATCCCTGTGTTAACTTTCAGTAATAAGGTTTCCTTCTACCCCTGACAGAAAGTTTAGACACGCTGAAGCTTCCTCACATGTCCCGGATGTGTATTATGCATATAGGGATGACCTGGGAAATTTGGGGGAAATTTTAGTACCTGCCTCTGAAAAGGGTGGGGAGGATTTTGCAGTTCGGGAGTTTTCTGAACTTTTGGGTTTTCGTTTACATCTTTGGGAAGACGTGATTTAAAAGAATGGGTGGTGAAAGTGTTTTTCTTTTTTGGGTCATTCCCATTAATGGGATTATTTTAATCAAAAAAAGCGGCCCAAACCCCAACCCCGGGTCATACCTCGGCGGGAGGTGGCTAGTGTTTTTAAATAATGTAAAGTACAGTATGTGATGCATTATATGAAATTTAAAAATTTATAAATTGCTTTAAAATTTTTCCTTTTTTTATTTTACAATCTTCTTATTTTTTTTTCTTTAAAAAATATAACCTTTTTTTTTTTACTTTCCCGATTTTCCCAAAAATTTGTTGCTTGTCCCCCTTTAATTATTTTTATGGCTCCAAAATTTTTCCCCTGTCACCCAAAACAAAAAATAATTTTTTGTTTACAATTAAATATTGCCAGTAATAGAAATAACAAAAAATCAATTTTGGAATGATGTACCCTTTGATAAAAATTTTCCCGAATTTTTACAATATGTGGGGGGACTTTTTTGGGGGCAATTTTGGGGGGTTTTTTATTTCTTCTGCTCGTGGGGGGAAAATTGTTTTAGGAAATTCCTCCCGGAAAAATAAAGGGGAGTATAAAAGAGGGTTTTTTCCCAACCTGCATCCCCCAAACAAAAGGATTCGCCAAAAAAGTCTGTGATCCCACCCATTCTGGGCCCGTAAAGAGTAAAAAAAAAAAAAAAAAAAAAGATAGAAGTTATATTCTACAAAAAAGTGACATTTTTGGTTTACAATACAAGGGCATGTACTCGTGAATGTCAAATATTGCATTGCAACTGCCTGGCAACACAGTAGCATAAAGATATTCACCAGAAACAAACACTTCCCCATAACGTACAGTAAACATTCACTTGAAAGGATTCCCGAAACTCCAAACACGCCAACAAATCAAACAGAAGTAATGGGTGCTTGGATTTTGTCCTGGTTAGGATGAGGAATGTACATATATTCACCAAACCTTCACTGATTTACATTTTCCTTCTTTTTCATCAAAGACTGAAAGAAAGGAGCTCTTCAGATCATTAATTCTCCACACATCAACACCACTCCTAACAAAGTTATAATTCTTCCCAACAGCCAGGTTGCACTGAACGTTTCTAAAGTACTAGCACAAGCTAACACTAGAGTCGTCATCACTTCCAGCACTTCAATGAAGGATCTAACCAGGACAAAATCCAAGCACAATGAACCAGTCAATGCCAGGGTTTACACTATACCCTGCGGAGGCTGCAACAGGATTTATGTAGGTAAAACAACAAGATACCTTGAAACATGCCTCAATGAACACATTAATGCATGCAGGAACAATAACTTGAACAATACCTGTGTACAACATCGAAATTCCACCAATCATCTCATGAAATTCAGGGACACCCAATTAGTGATCAAAGAAACTAATTTCTGTAGATGAAAGTGCCTTGAATCAGCATCAATGACTGTTTCTAACACAATTAAACAAAACAAAGGCAGCTTCATCATCTCTGAAGTCTTAGTGAGGGGTACTCCTGAAACATTAAACCCTGCCATCCAGTTCTCCGCTAATACTACACAAGCACATTACAGAGGATGAACACTAATACAGACCTTCTCTAATCCAACCTCCAACAGAAATACCTGTCTAACCTATTTTTATGATACCCAAGTAATAGCTTTTATAACCTTTTACTCATGTGCAAGTTGATTGTTCTATCATATTGTATTACTACAACTAATATTACTACTACTACCACCACTAGTACTACACCTCACTCTAAGCCTATATATACCGTGTCTGTGTATTGTTTGTAAACAGCTTGATAAAGCTCCAGGAGAGTGAAATGTTGCCACAATAAAATGTCACATTAGTTGCATGTGTGTCCTTTTACTTAACAAAAAACATCTAGGAGGTCTGGTTAGCAGAAATTTAAAGCCAAAACAATAATTCACGTGTGACCGCAATAAAGCTAATTGATTTTTGGCTTCATATCAAGTATAAATAATAGAAGTCCTAAGGTTATACTTCAGCTTTATATATCTTTGGTTAGACCTCATTATGATTATACTTCTCAGTACTGGTCTCTACATTAGAGGATAGACAAATGCACTTGAAACTATACAAAGAACAGAGACAGATGATTTCATGTATCAGAAACCTCTTCTTTAAAAAAAAAAAAAAAAAAGGCTGAAGGCACTGAACTTGCACTCTTTGGAAAGACGTAGAATTTGAGGAGATACGAGTGAAGTGTACAAATGAAAAACAGGAATAAATAAAGGGGATACACAAAGCATGCTGAAAATTTCTAATGAAGGCCCTGGAGGGATTGGCACCAAACCTGCACACGAAAATCACTCCCTATGAAAGGAAAAGACTCGGCAGGAGATGCAACATTCCCCCGATGAAAAGCAGGGGCACCACGAGTGCATAGAGAGACAACACAATAAATGTCCGGGACCCAAGACTGTTCAACTTCCTCCCAGTATACATAAGGGAGATTATCAATAGACCCCTGGCTGTGTTCAAGAAGGCACTGGACAGGCACCTAAAGTCAGTACCTGACCACCCAGGTTGTGGTTCATACGTTACCTTGTGTGCGGTCAGCAGTAACAGCCTGGTTGATCAGACCCTGATCCACCATGAGGCCTGGTCTCAGACCGGGCCGCAGGGGCGTGGACCCATGAAACCCTCTCCAGGTAAACTCCAGGTAAGACAGGACTCACAGCAATGAATTAAAGTTTGAGAAATTCATATTTAGAAAAGATACTGGGAAGCAATGGCTTAGCCATAGTTATAAATAAGCAAAACAAACCCCCAGGCATTATCAGTAGTAGTATCACTTAGTGATACTCGTGTAGTATCATTTTGTGATACTACAGGTGTGGATGATGGTACAATGTGGATGTGGGTGGGTGTGACTTGTAAGTGCTTAGCATCAGCCAGTATGCCTGCTGCAGTGCTCCTTCATTCTTTTGTTCTTACATTAAAAATATAACATAAAGGAGAATGAAAAATATAAACAAGTTTATTTTGGTACATTTACACATAAGTACAGTTACACAAGTTTATGTGATTGCAATTTGCAATTATCATACACAGTAACATACGTATAAATTATTTCGGATAACTCAAAAATGTCACAATGACTTATTCTCAATGGGGTCCTTGTAATATCTTATTATTAGCAGCCTAGCTATTACAGTAATAACTATATACTAATACTTGTATTTAAACAAATTATATGGTGGTTGTACTCTCTGAAATGAAATCTGGATATATCTAATTATACAGTATATACATGGTAAATATTTGAGGGCAAAGACACTGTACCAAGGTCAACTGAGGCTGAGAATGTTAAATAGGTTCTCCATGTTATCGTAGTTAATTTACGTGACACTTTAGGATACTATGAGAACTGAAGAGCTAAGAGCATTGTATTACTCAGTGCCAAGCATATATGAGACTGACAGGCACTCTAGAGGCTGTAATATAGTACATCCCTGAGTGCCGGGTTTAGGTAGGTAGAGTGAAGTACACACACTCCTGGCTACCAACACTGTGCTATGCTTCCTCTCACTACCTCAGGTCATGCCAACCTATCTTACGACTTGCTACGTGCACTCAGATATCTCACGTGCCTTAGACAAGTGA